CCCGGGGCGGCTCTGGGCGCGGGGGTCTCTGACCCGGCCGTGCCGGGACCTCAGCAGCCCCCAGGGGGGTCTCGGGCCGCCCCCCGCTCCGGTTTGTGCGGACCCCCCTGCCCTGGGCCCGCGGGGGCGATGGCAGCAGAGGGGTCGGTCGTGGAGACGAGGCGAGGGCCTGGGCGGTGACGTGACCGTGTTCCCTTCCCCAGGGGACAGCTGCTGCAACCCGCTGAGCATGGGCTACATCAAAAAAATAGTGGAGCAGAAAATCCCAGGGATTTACGTCCTGTCTCTCAAGATTGGGAACAACCTGATCCAGGTAAGGAGCTGCCGCTCGCGGCGCCGCCGGGCAGGGTGGTGGCCAGAGGGTGGCTCTGCAGGGTCATCGCAGTCTCTGGTGTTAATCTGGTTGCACAAGGATTTGTTTCCTGCTTTCCCTGCTGTGTGGTGCTTTTTTTTTTACATCTTGGTGAAGTAAACAGCTTTGACAAGTAGAAACCAGTGAAGTCAAGCTGATACCTGCAGGAAAGAGCTGAGGGAAGACAAATCCCGAGTCTAAATGGGATTAATATGCAAATCCACTGGTGAGCACTCTCACCACTCCAGGTGACACAGAGGCATGTGATCAGATACTATCTGAAGCAGAGCTGGATGGCTTGCTCTCCTCTTTGACTTACAACCCTTTGTTCATTATGTATCTTCTAATAAAGCCACAAACTTCCTCAGCACCTCTCAGGGTTCTGGCAGGTTTGTGTAGCCCTCCAGAATGTCCTGAAATGCTCCCTCAGGACAACGTGTTTGTTAGTTTCTGGAATCTGGAGGAGACAGGGCTTTCATTTTACACATCTGAAGAGGCTCAAGATTGTCAAGAAGTTTGGGGAAATGTGAGTGTTGCAGAGGGAACAGGTTTCCCAGAGAAGCAGGAACAGAGCCCTGCTGAAGGGAAGTCCCAGCACTTTTACTTCTGTCACCTTGTGAAAGTCAAGGTCCTCTTTCAAAAGCAGAACTGCCAGCAGTCAGTTTGCACAGATGGCACTTGTGTGCAAAGCGTTGTCCAAGGTACAAACCAGACGTTCTCCTCTGGCTGATCCCTCAGGATGTGGAGAACAGCTTCTTCCTGAACGTGAATGCCCAGGTGGGGCAGGTGTGCAGGCAGCTCGGCGGGGACCCGCGCCTGCAGGGCGGCTACAACGCCATGGGCTTCTCCCAGGGGGGGCAGTTCCTGTAAGTTCACACTTTTCTTCCATTTCTGTTGATTCCTCGGGGGTTTTAGGCTTTGATTTCATCAGCATGGACTGGTATGAGTTGGAAGGGACCTTCAAGATCATCCAGGCCCAGCCCCCTGCATGGGCAGGGACACCTCCCACCAGCCCAGGCTGCTCCAAGCCCCATCCAACCTGCCCTTCAGCACTGCCAGGGATGGGGCTTTTTAAGACCCTTTTGAATTTTCAAGCAGATGTGAACTCACAAACCCTTTGGAAAGGTGGGAGAGCTCCAAGGGAGGCAAGGATATGTTTGCCTGGAGCCCAACTCCACCAGGAAGGGTTCATTCTTTTTGCAAACCAGATCAAAGCACCCAAAGCTGGGAGCTGTGTGAGCCAGCCCAGGCTGATCAGCTCCTTCACCTTTCTCCCCAGGAGGGCAGTGGCCCAGAGGTGTCCTTCTCCTCCAATGCTCAACCTGATCTCTGTTGGGGGACAGCACCAAGGTAGTGTCCTCTCCAACTATCTCACCTAACCCCTGTGAAGGGTGGGGGGCTCTTGTTGGCAGGAGGAACGACCATTTTCTCATGAATTAAACTGTCCCTTTGTTCCTCTCTGGGGTTTGACCCAGTTTTTAGCCACCTACGTTATCTTCTGTCTTGGTCTTGCTTCACTGGCACTGAGGAGGCACCTCTGCAAGTAGATGACTGATTGTTTGGGTAGAATCCTTCCAGACTTTGGAAGCACTTGGGATTAGTTGTTTTGGGAGAACTTCTCTCTTAACTACAAAGCAAAAGCCTTTGTGGAACTAAAGCTTCTATGCCACGAGGGTGTTTCATAGTTGGCCCTGGGAAGGGTGAAGCCCTGAGGAGAGGGAGGTGCTGCCTGCAGGAGGTGACAGGGGCAGGATGAAGTGAAGAGTGGTGGGTGGTGAATTCCACACTCCCCTGAGATGCTCCATGACTTGAGTCTAGTAATTTGTAGTGGGAAAACTTGTAGGGAACCATCCTGGGAACAGCAGGTGAGCTGGGCACTGTTCCTCCCCCTGCCTGTGCGTGGCAGAACCTGGGGTAGGGGAGCTCTCCAGGGGGGCTGCCCGATCCCCTGGATAATTCCTGCCACTGCTCTGTGACAGGGTGGTTCTTGACCAGCCAGAGGGTTTAGGGGCTTGGAGCTGGACTCACCAGGTTGTCCCACATGTCTCCACACCCCAGGAGTCTATGGCTTCCCGCGCTGCCCCGGGGAGAGCTCCCACCTCTGCGACTGGATCCGGAAGACGCTGGATTTGGGTGCCTACACACCAGCTGTTCAGGAGCAGTGAGTGGTTCCATCAAGCTGCCACCACGGGGGCCAGGCCCGTGGGAGAAGCTCTGGGTTTCCAGCCTGAGGTTTTGGTTTCTCTCCTCTCCAGCTTGGTCCAAGCAGAGTATTGGCACGACCCTCTGAAGGAGGAGGAGTACAGGAAAAACAGCATCTTTCTGGCTGACATCAACCAGGAGAGGGTGAGGACCTGGCTGGTGAGCAGAAGCCTCAGCAGTGAATTCCTTCATGCCAGCTCTCCCTGGCAGCAGTTCTTCTGGAGTCCCAAAAGGAGCAGATTTCACTCTGCATCCCTGCAATGTACAGAGTGTTTTCACTGGTGGGTTTAGGAATGAGACTTGTCCCTGGCAGAGCAGCTCCTGTCTCTTCTGGAGTGTCTTCTGTGTCTGTGCCACGTGCTCAATCCACATGGACAAATTTTTTCCCTCCCTGGGAAGGCAGGGGGGCCATCCCCTCCCTCAGCCTGGAGCTGGATCCATGAGTGCAGCCCAGGGACCCAGGTGGCACAAATCCCCATTCCTGCCCCCTGGGCTGACACAGCCCAGGGTTTCCTCTGCAGGGTGAGTTGGAGCAGGTGGTTTCCCTGTCCTGTCTCAGTGCCTTGAATCTCTCCTCTTTTCTTCCCATCCAGGGCATCAATGAGACCTACAAGAAAAACCTGATGGCTCTGAAAAAGTTTGTGATGGTGAAATTCCTCAATGATACCATGGTTGACCCACCCATCTCTGAGGTGAGCCAGGCAGGGGGGTGGGTGCTGCTTTTCTGGGGGGTGGTTTGGTGTTTGCTGCTGAAAAGCTGCTGATCTCCTGGGAGCCCCTCACCAACTGTTTCCTTGTTTTGATTCTGGCAGTGGTTTGGGTTTTATAAAAGTGGCCAAGCCAAGGAGACCATCCCACTGAGGGAAACCTCACTGTACACAGAGGTATGTTCTGCTGGGGGGTTTGTGCCATGTCCCCTGGGTCCTTGAACTCTAAACCCCACAGCTCTGCCCTGCTCACCCTCTCAGCCATTCCTGGGGCATTGCCTCCTGTTGCCAGGAGCTGCCTGGGAAGGCATTTCCCTCCAGGCCAGTTCTGGCAGTGGGAATCACAGCAGTGCCCTGGTGCCTGGCTCGTGCTCCCCATCAGCATCTGTTTCACAAACTCTGCTCCTTTTTTAAAGCCAGGAAGAGGCACCCAAAATGCCTTTTTCCCTTCTGTGAGGAGAATTTTTGAAGAGCAGAGGTAGAACTTGCTCTAGCCCAGCAGGCAGTTCTGCCCCAGCAGGTCTCCAGCCCTGTGCCAGGTTCCCCAGGGAGCTCTGGACACACTTCTCTCTCTGCAGGATCGCCTGGGTCTGCAGGAGATGGACAAAGCAGGAAAACTGGTGTTCCTGGGGGTGGAAGGGGATCACCTGCACTTCTCAGAAGAGTGGTTTGACACCACTATCCTCCCCTTCCTCCAGTGAGGCTGAGGGGAGGCCCCCAGAGCAGCAGGGAGGGTCTATCACTGCCACTAATGCTGCTACTTGTTCAGCAGGTCTCCAGCCCTGTGCCAGGTTCCCCAGGGAGCTCTGGACACACTTCTCTCTCTGCAGGATCGCCTGGGTCTGCAGGAGATGGACAAAGCAGGAAAACTGGTGTTCCTGGGGGTGGAAGGGGATCACCTGCACTTCTCAGAAGAGTGGTTTGACACCACTATCCTCCCCTTCCTCCAGTGAGGCTGAGGGGAGGCCCCCAGAGCAGCAGGGTCTATCACTGCCACTAATGCTGCTACTTGTGCAACAGCACTTTGGGCAGGGGCCTGGGGGGGACTGGGGAAGGGGACAGGCAGGGGGGTTGGCTCAGCAGGTCCACAGGGTGCAGAGCTGCAGTGAGAGACTTGTCTGGGTGAAATAACACTCCAATGTGGGCTGAGCTTGGCACTAACTCTGGAATGCTCCATCCTGCTAAGGCTACTGCAGTTCTCAGAGTGGTGGCACCACCACGAGCTGGGGGGGGGAGGTTGGTTTTCCCTGTCCCCTGTTCCTCACAGGAACCAAGGGCAGTATTAACAGAAATCACTAGTGTTAAGGATGCTGCATCTCTTAGGGAGAGCAGCAAGTAGACTTAGGTGGCTGAATGCAAAGGTGTTGCAGCCATGTAATGGGGAACAAAGGGCCAAATGTAGAGGTTTCTGGGGAAAAAGGAGGGGTTGGGATGAAGCAGGTATTAACAGCTTGAACAGTTTTCAACTAATGGCTTGTTTGATGCACTTTTGTACAGCCTCTGAAATCAATAAAGAACTGTACCTCTAACCAACTGAAAAACAAAAACAACAGGTGAGATTTGACAACTACTGAGGGTTTGATTCAAGGGGAGTTGAGGAAAGTTTGTGTTTCCCCAAGGGGAAATCCTCACAGCAGGGTCAGGCAGCAAGAGGCACCTCATCCTGTCCCAGGTCCTGGGTGCCCTCAAAGAACAAAACAAGAGCCCTTGTAATGAGCAAGTTGGCATTAACTTTATTCTAATCTTCTGTATAATCTTAAGTACATAAGAAAGGTGGTTTTTTTTTTCACAAGCCTCAGGAGAAAACGAGTACAAGTCACAGGACAGACTCAAAATTTAAAAAAAAAAAAATTTGCATATTTTTTTTATAGTTTTTTGTAAGTTTGTCCTAGAGAAAAAAGAACATTGACACTTGACAAGAGGAAATGCTTTTAGGATTTGCTTTTGCCACCCGAGGCCTTTTGAAAATGAAGGTGAAAGCACGTGCAGCTCCCTTTTTGGGCCAGTACAGTACTGAGTCTGAGATCCAGCCCCCTGCTCCAGGGCCCTGGAACAGAGGCCACCAGATTCCACCAAAATAAAAAGCCAAGCAACAGGGGAAAGGGGAGGGGATTTGCTTTGTAGGGATTGATAGCAGAGGAGGAAGAGTGTGATGAACCGACTTGATCCCGCCTGGGTACTGAGAACCCTGCCCTGCAGACCCTGGAATGGAGGAGACCCTCTGCAGGAGGGGACACGTTCAGAAGAACTGTCCTGGAAGACTGAACCCGAGTTCAGCTGCTCCAGGAAGGAAGCCCTGGGGCCCAAGATTCCCTTGCCAAAGCAGAGGGCTCATGGAATAAGAGGTGCTCAGCTCCAAGCTACCAGCCTGCCCTCTGCTGAGCCTCCTGGGGCACCGGGTGACCCAAAGCCTCTTGTCATGGCACAATCTGGAATATACTGAGCTGGTAGGAATGATGAGACTCAAGAGGAATCAGGGGTGGAATGCTGCAGCCCAGATGCCCAGCCTTTGGTCCAACAAAAGCCATTCCCATGTGCTGTAATGCACCACAGAGCTGGAATGAGCAGCTTCCAGGACCACCTGGAGCCACCTGCCAGAGCAACTGGGCACTCTGGACCCCGACAGAAACCGTTGGGAAAAAGGGGACAAACATTCCTCTCTCACATGAACAACTTGCTTCAAGGCAATACAAAAGAAACCCAAACAACACTCTGAAAAGCCAACTGCCAGTACTGGCTGTGAAGTTCAATCTGCCTTAATTGGTGCAGTTAGATCAGACAAGGGGAGGAAAAAAAATAAAATACCCCTCCCTGCTGAGAAATGTGGACAATAACTGACCTGCCCCCTCCACCAAACCCCAGGCAGAGGTGTTTCAGTGGGGGCAGGTAGCTGTGTCTCTCGGGTAGAAGAGAAGCAGTTTGAGAGCAGAAAGGTACAAGAAATCTACAGAATCATCTGAAAGCAGATTTGTCCCACAGCAGGGCCAGGGGAGGGCAGGAGCCTTGGAGCTTTTCTGCTTAGCCAGCGATTTCTGTCACAGTGGTAACCAACTTCTGACCATTCCACACTGTCTTGAACTGTTCTGGGACAGGG